GATGGATCAGGAACAAAGTGGATCGATGATCCTTTTTTATGCCGAATTACATTGTTTGTTAGTTACTTTGACTCAGTCGTTCAAAGTTATGCTTTTGTTTCTTTTATTACATCAGCTGAAGTCGGTGTTTCAATGCGTGAAAGCCAACTATCGTCTGTCGATGTAGACGTATATATGCAATTGTATAAAATATAAATTGGTGACGTCAACAGCATCAAAATGGCGTAAATGTTAGCACCCGTCAACGTTGAATGATCATATCATGTGATTTGTTTTTACATCAATTTTGAGTGGTCTAAATTATTAACTTGTTTAAACATGAACACTTTTAAGTGTTATCGCATGACATGTGTATACATCAACGTTTGTGGCGAATGCACTACACAGGTGTGTTATAAAAATGAGAAATGTGTATTTTTACATTATCTTTAACAAGCCTTTCCAGCGACAACCTTTAAACGTTTATTTTATGCTTTTCTAAGTCTGGTCTTAAAACATAGACATAGATTGTTCTTCTTTAATCTTAACTCTAATCTTATCGTTACTAGATTTTGGACCAGCAAATTATTATCACACTTAAATCATTTCATTACTCCACATACACTGGAAGGACTTCCTTTTAATGTAAGTTCTCCTCCTAAAGTTGACATGAAACTCGAGGTTTTCCTGGCAATGTAATTACCACACACGCATACACACACACGCACGCGCGCGCGCGTGCAAGGTGCAGAGGTTCATTTTCCGCATTTTGCAGCACGAAAACTCCACTGAAATATCGAATTGTATTTTGAAAGAATTTTATCATCCACTATAGCATATTTCCCCAAACCAAACCCCACCCACCCCGTTTAAAAATGTACGTCCATTTCATATCCTAATATGTCCCACTCCAAAATCATGTATCCATGACAAGGGTCCTGTTAACAAGCATAAATCACATATTCTGTGCGGCACCTTTTGTCATTTTGACGTTAATTAGCTTTCCCATTACGTTAAATCAACGGTAGTTGTGTGGATTGAGACAGATCAGATCAGAGACGTATTTTAAAACTTTCATACACATGAAACTCCAGCTCTAGTACACAACCCAAGGATTAGATTTGATTGTTTGATTGCAGCTTTTAAGTGAATAATAATAGTTTAAATAGAGGAATTATAGTTTAAATTTATTAAAAGTTGTAGTATTATAACTGAATTCAATTTTAAATTATAGACAGTCCACACTGGGGTTTCTGACTTTTACCATTTTGCTTTATGCTGAGTAAGTTTGGAGAATATAGGTCCTGAAGCTAACGATCGTCGTAGGTTCTAGAAAATAAGTAGCATACTGTACGTTTGCTATAGGCCTTATTTCAATATCGAATCCCAAGATCCACAACATTGGCAATAACTATAATTTTGATAATTTCAATTGAAACAATACAGTTTGCCAACATTATGGTTTCAAACTTCAATGACAGAACAGAAACACACATGCAGCTGAGTCAAGACTCGTTACTTCGTGATCAAATCTCGTGTACTTCGTGTGGAATCGACACTTCATAGTAATCCAGTCCGTAACCAGCAGAACTGAGTAGAAATAATACCCCCCTTAAATCCATCCATTCGAGATCAACTAGAAAAGTTGTTGGAATGCACATTCATTCATAATATGACTCTAAATTTGAATTTTAAATAGACCAAAACGTCAATTCCTTTTGAAACTAATGTCGAGTACGCGACTAAGTTCAATGGTCGCTGGACGGTATTATGTGCGCTTTAATATTGTTATTGTGTATTAAAGAATCTACGGTTGTGTATTTATTTTGTAATACAGCATTGGGTATAAATAGTTTCTATATTTCTGTATTAATTTGTTAATAATTAAGCCTTAGGTAGAATAAGAAAATGAGTATATCAATGAAAGGTTACTGCATATGTATGGGAACTATGAACTATTTTTCTCGGATCAATAGTTCACTACCAAAGTATTAATCCGACTAAATACTTCGACCGTATTTTCCCATAAAAACAGTAATATAAACTCTGTTTAATGTAAAATTACACTCTCTCTGTAATATAAATAAGTTACGAGGCCTGGAGCTATATCAGGTTCCACGCCTATGCAATGTACGGGATATTGCAACAGTTTCATACAAGATCTTTGCTATAATTGGATTTAAATCATACCATTATCAATGAAGCTCCAAAGAGTATATTCAAGTTTATATTTATCCTCTTTCTATCCTAGTATCTTGTACTTAGATGCATTATAGTCTAAATATCTACATGATTCTGTTTCTTAAACAGTTTTAGATCCCATGAACTATTGCCAGGGTTCTTTTCTGTTGTTAGATTTCTTTCAATGAAAGCAATAATATTACTTTTGTTTTTCAAAATGTATTCATATCCCTAGAAGAAGCATGTCAAATGCTTACAATACGACAAGGGCATGTATTGTGGAGATATATAAAATCAAACGTGCATGTTGTTTAAACAGCGAGCAGCTCATTGATAAATACTTGGATACCATTCCACCTTGGCGTGTACCTTTCAATGCCGGAAATCTGTCCGAAAATTCTCATTGAAACGATAACACTGCTGTACATATTTGTGTATAAATTTACAATCACCTTTCAAATTATATGTTTAATATCAGTTTGAAACAAAGTTTAAAATAATCAGTGATGCCATGCAATGTCAAAATCTTTCTCGATAAAAAGAAAAGCTACTCTTAATTTGTGTTGGCTCTTATGATTAAGATAAACAATTAATTCGAAGACAAAAACAGAAATCATATTGCAACAACTCAGATCCGTGTGAAAGACCTCCTTGAGTACGTTAACTGAAAACTTAGATTTTAAATCAGTGCATAACCTTTCTACTATAATCTACTCAAAAACTATAAATAACTGGAAGAAGCGTTGTAGTTCTTATTTGGATCTCATTATCTCATCAACTTTTATTTCATCGCTTAAAACTATAATTATCACACCTTCTTTGCCGAGGGTTGCCGTAGGTTTACTACAAGAATTGAATCAGTACTGAGTCCTTACAACTGGATATTGTTTTAACTATCGCATTTTCGAGTTCATTTGTCGTGCAAGTGTTTGTAAGCGATTTGATCACGGGTACTTTGAAATATAGATTCAATGGTATCAAATATACAGTTCCATTAGACCTTATCTAAGATCCTAGTCATTTATGCAGTAAATTTCATTACTACAATTTACGTCTAGATAAGTACATTCCTGTTTTGCAAAATTACTTATTTTTCAATTAGACGTAATTGTTTGATTCGGTATCAATTTTATATAACCTTAATTGTTAAGTATTTCGTCATCATCGAACTCTGCAAATGATTAAGTTGTAACAAAATATTTCTGAAACCAGATCGAGTTTAACACCTGAACGAGTATATTTGATCACATATGACTTTGAAACATCTTGCAAAATAATGTGACAAACTAGATCTTTTTAAAATATATTTGTTATTAGTTTTTGTAAAGCCGACAAGTGTAAAAAATACTTTGTTGACGTCAAATTGAAATATAAAAGTAGAAATAAATACAATTTATAAAAAAATGAGTCTTGAACTTTGCCTTGGACAACAAGGATGTAATTCATCGTTCTACAACTGTGTGTCATTGTAGTGTATGCCATTAACTAGGTGGATATAATATATTTTACAGCTTTGTTCCCTCATAATGTAAAATACAAAATGTAATTAAAACATTTTTCCTTTCATAAACCTTTTACTTCAGAGACATTCATGTCTAACAGTAAAAACCACTCCAAGTAGAGTGTTTAAATGCTATTCTCGAAGTGGCACTCCAAATTTTCAAATTAGGTCTGTGTATAAATTCCTCCTAATGTACATGTACATGATGGTTGTGCGTGCGTTCGTGCGTGCGTGCGTGTGCGTGTGTGTTTAGCTTAAAAACATAATCGTTAGAGGAGACCAAACGCCTATGCAATACTAGTTCCATCTCCATTTTTAGACTTTGATGCGCTAAATTTGAATAGTTGTAATCAAAAACTTTAAACCACATGTACGGTATAAGTTACAATTTTAGACCAATTAATAGGTATTGTATTTTTAAATCTCAGCCCAAAATCAACAAATCTTCTTTTTCAGAACTTTACCTCGTTTTATATGTATCATTCTTATATGTCATTGTTTAAAAAAAATTACGAAACGTTAACCTTTTATGACAAGTTTCTTTTTCTTTCTTCGTTACCATTGGTCAGGCCCATCGATTATTTTCTGTATACCCCGTATAAAATATAATTAGCCTCGTCTACTTCTACCACATTTTGCGACATTAAAATAGAAATAAAATGTTTACAATATTTCCAAACATACAATAAAAATTATGTTTATATGGACAACGAGATCATTATGCTCATATCATGTTCACGGCGTATAAACGATAGTGATGTAAATGATTAAACAAACAACAGCTCCACACAACCAGACAAATTCGACTTAAAAGTCTCTTAAATCGCAGAGAGAGAGAGAGAGAGAGAGAGAGAGAGAGAGAGAGAGAGAGAGAGAGAGAGAGAGAGAGAGAGAGAGAGAGAGAGAGAGAGAGATGATTCTTGTTGCACACGAAGGATGGTTTACTTTATCATCCAATTCTTGAAATGAATTGTAGCTTTTTGTGGTGTGTATTTTGAATGAATTTTATACATTTATCAGGAGAATAACTTTGATCTCTATTTTAATTAATCCCATTACATTGACTATAAGTTCTAATAACTTATTTGAATCTTACGCTTTCTTTTTCATTTCAGTTTTTCACTGGGGATACAATGGTAAATCAGGTAAGCATGCTATCAATCAATTTAATTCTCTTCCTTACTTCTATTAACAAGCATATACAACATATAGAAGTTGAAAGGAAAGCTTACAAACACTGGACATGAAAAGACTACTGCAAATAACGTAGACCCTTACCTGCTGTCACATGATCAGATCAGGGTCATTGTTTATATTCTACTCCTTAATCCTAACAGACGACTGTGGTGGCATAGTGGTTAGAGCGTCCGTCTCGGATGCTGGAAGTCGCAGGTTTGAATCCCTGCAGAGTCATACCAAAGACGTATGAAAATGCTACCTTGGGTAGTGGAAGACGTTGAACTGGAGATGTGCATTTATAATTGTAAAAAAATAATTGGTGGCGGAAGTTCAGGTGTTGATGTAATTTCTGGTGATATGATTGTCGCACAGCTACTTCTACACTTTGTTAAAAATATAAACGTGTTCAAGCCTTGCGATGTGATTTGAGGCGATCTGAAAATATGCACAGCAGTTTTAGAATTGCAACCCATCCCGCTGGATCAGAGTTGGGGGTGGGGATACTTTTGCATCTAAATAATTATATATAAAATATCTAGCAATTTCTTGTGTTTAGATTTTCACGCCACATCGCTTTCATTGTTTAAGATAAACACTGCAAATCTTAGTTTGGGGTGTTTGTACCATTGCAAAACGGTTTTAAAATTTTGAAACAGACTCTGTGGTTGGGTTTAGGGGTTGTAGAAGAGGTTTGTTTAAAATTTAAAATAGCTTCTTAATTATGAATCCAGGGACGACTACATAATGGGTGGGCTGATGGGTGGGAAAATATGTAGTGGTCAGCTATCAATTTTTATGGATGTAGGCCAAAACGTGTTGAACTGAAATCTAGAGGGAGGCAAGTGCCCCAATATGTGGGCGTCCATGTATGAAACAAATTTGTCTGATAATTAGCATGTGTCCTTACTTAAAAAGTCCTTACACATTGCATAAGGGGAAATAAATGGGGCACTTGTGCCAAGCACTGAGGGCATAATGGTTTGGTCCCTGGGACAGAGCTTTTGGAAACGAGAGAGAGAGAGAGAGAGAGAGAGAGAGAGAGAGAGAGAGAGAGAGAGAGAGAGAGAGAGAGAGAGAGAGAGAGAGAGAGTATTGTGTTCTGAAATATTGGACTAAGGTTATCTCCAGATAATGTGTGTGGTGTAGGTGTATGACATGGATTTGCAACGTAACTTTAACAATTTTTCACTCGTATCGCCACGATATATGCATTGTGGAAGTTCATACTGATGTCCAGCAGTGGGATATTATGCCGCAGACATGTAGCATCAAGTTCCCCCTGAAAACAGGCCGACCAGTCCACAAGTAAAACTTAATACTGAACGCAAAGCAAGGCAAGTCTTTGGTATGACTCGGACGGGCTCGAAACCAACATCTTCCGATACCAAGGTGGACGCCATAACCACTTAGGCCACCGGAGAGGTCGAATCTATATACCTACCTACCTACCTACCTACCTACCTACCTACCTATCTACCTACATACATACATACATACATACATACATACATACATACATACATACATACATACATACATACATACATACATACATACATACATACATACATACATACATACATACATACATACATACATACATACATACACTTAGGACTTGAAACTGCTGCATACAATATTAAGAAATATTGTGTTTCATATCTTTTTGTACGAATTATTAACTTATGTTAAAATGTGTGAAAAGGAATGTTAAAATATGGATCATTGAAACATTTTTGATTTGACGCAATTTGCACTTTACAAAAAAAAAAACAACAACATATACATGTTTAAAGGTATTTTATAAGCCGCATTCTCTCAAAATGTCCAAGATTTTCTCATTTGCTACATCATGATAATGTCCCTCAGTCTAATTCACGTTGAAAGGAAACAAAACAAAACAAAAATTAAAAAAAATACTTTTATCTCTCAAAGTGAAAGTCATTAAACCCGACATGCATTGGGTCGGCTACCTCACTATGTCCTTGGAAAATTACTTAACTCCCATGTCTTTAGCATGATTCACCCATTAATGCGTTAAAGTTTCGCTACAGTCACCAAAAACAAAACAAATTTAGTCAGTGGACACTGGCAAGGTATGCAATCAGGTACAGGTACATCCTTCAGAAGGTTTATACCAATTAAGTGTGTGTGTGTATGTGTGCGTGTGTTGGTGTGTGTATGTGTGTATGTGTGTTTGTTTATTCGTTTGAACCGAACCTTTAGCAAATTATTGCTTATATTATATGGAGGAAATGGGAGCTAAAGTGTTTTTGCCAAGGACATCTCGAGGCAGCCAGGTATGTGTGGCGGATACGTTATAGGCCTACTATTTTGTTCTCTATGATATATGTCCCTGTCTATTAAAGGGTTCAATGTTACAATGGTTGCTTATGTAATTTAATTCATTCAATATTTGCACTAGTCACATGATCACAATTAACAATCTTCCAAATTTTCGAATTTAAAATTATTAAAAGCATACCTTTTGGCACATTTTTATTACAATATTCCAGCATGTCATATTTACATACGTAACTCTTCATGTGAACAAATTAATGAGTATAATGTATTAATGTACTTATAATTATGTCTACTATGAATTTACTCCCTGTTGCAGTCTTTCAATGATATCACAAAAATTTTCGATGAAAATAAATTGCCTAGGAAACAAGTAATACTTCACAAGAAAATTACACTGGAAACATGATGAAAACCATAGGTAGAGATATAACTTTTTATTATATTTAGTGGAAGACCTTGTGGTGATATGTTATTGATTTTTCAACATTGGGAATTACTTCTGTTATTGACAATGATATCGCCTATATCAACCCTCTGAAATATGTTAATAATTTCTTCTAAATGAAGTTGACTCACTTTACGTTGATGACCACTCATTATTAACTGCTAGCTTTTGTTGTTACAACAAAATCAATCATATTTTCTTGATGATAATAAAACATCACAAATTACAAGCTAGCTAGAAAATAGAAAGATTAATTTTAAAAACATATTGATGCCGGTGCTTTAAAAGAGATATTAAAGAAGAATCAGAAAGCACACAATATTATATAATTGTTATGTTACGGATCACTGCCATCTCACCTCTGCGTTGGTTCGAGTCTAGGATTCGGCGAATATGGATATGTGAAAAAGTTTGCCAGTAGCTTCTCGTGGGTCGGTGGTTCTTTCCGGTGATTTCCCGGTTTCTTCCGCCACCATTAATATTGGCCGCCATGAATAGCCTATCGTGTGCTGAAAAATGGTGTTAAGTCCAACAACAAAAACAACAACAACAACATCAAATAATTTTATGTATATTTAATTTGTATTATTTGTTTGGCTTTTCTTAATGATGATCTGTCATTCACATTAGTATTTCATACTTGGTCTTTGTCGAAAATCAAATTAATGGTACAGACCAGAAAGATTTATTTTGCAAAGAGCGTATTACATAGCAAATATTTCTTTAAGATCATTGATTAAATATTCAGATCATTATCAATGAAGGTAAATAATTGTGGAGGGGTTCCCCAATGTAAGGTTTTGGTTGTAGGAGATTGGGGGTGGGGTACTTCCAATATTTATTTAAATTATTGCAGAAGACCAACCTAGTCTCGATTTTGGTTTGGAAGATAGGTAGTGAGCATTTGATGTACAACTCTGAGCCCCCAGACGGTTAAATGATAAAATATATTAAAAGGGTGAAGCACAATAATAACAATTTAATAAACAAATAGATAGTCAATCATTCGAATTTCCCAAATATGCTTCATCCGTTCGACCCTTTTCTAACCTTTTGAGTCATGTGATTCGTAGTGTGAGATTTGCACATGTCCATGCGTTTTACTAATATGTGTATTCCACTATCTCCTGATTCCTCCTCGTCTTCATAACTATCTCCAGGTTCCTTCTCCTATTCCTCCTCTATTTTCTCCTCCAGACACTTTCCTCATCCTCCCCTTTTATACCTCTTCTTTACTCCGACTCCAATTCGCCGATTCCAACTATAACTTCAGTCTAAGTGCCGTCTCTCGGGATTACTAACTCTAACCGGAAGTTCTGTCCCTGAAAAGTTTCCTTTCGAAGCTGTTTTCCTTTTTATTTGTCTTACAATTCCCACCAATTTACGAGTGGCGTAGCTGGAGGAATAAGTCTTATGACGGCGATGTCCTCACGATCTGCCCATGTATGCTAACGAATTTTAAAAGTGGTCAGCTAATATTTTTAAATTTAAGATATAAGCCCACCCTCTAGCTAAATTCAGATTGTATGTTGCTGGAATGACCAAATCAACTGAGCTGTCAGTGTTTCTCGTTTATCTGTCTACGTGGCGCATAGAACACGCCCCGTTCATTCAACGGGCTTTCTTTTGATTTCCGACCCAATGTATAACAAGGTTGAGAGCTGCAATCCTTGGACCCAATGGCTGGCGACTTAAATATTCGATTGACACTGGCCTGCAACGATGCTAACACTTGAAACGCGATGAAAATACCCGAAGTTTATCCATCCGGATAACCTGGACTAAACAAACGTGACAATATGATTATTTAGGTCTGGATCTAGGATATCATATTTTTCACTTGGAAATTTCTAAACATGTTGACAACACTGAATGTTTCATAAAGTAGAATATACACATTCCGACTCTGTTATCGTGTCGTAGCTTTTTATTTCATGTTGCTTACTTGAAACAATAACCAGTCTTATTCAAATTATTGTTCACTGAAATTACGTTGTGCTCAGTAATATTGTTGAACTGGAAATATTGTATACACAGCACGAAGTCTTTGGACAGATCCGGAAGACGGACAACAGAGTTGGATGTCAGCCTATCCTATCCACGACCTCCGGCATCTGAGGTGGACGCTCTAATCACTAGGTCACATGAGTGGTCTTGTTAGAAATTGAGCGAACTAGAGTGGATTTAAAATTTTTTTATCACTTTATGTCATTTTTCCTTCAAATTTGTATAATGCTTTACGTTGATGAAGCTTTCGGTAAAAGAGGAAAACATATTACACACAAGTTCATATATATATATATATATATATATATATATATATATATATATATATATATATATATATATATATATATATATATATATATATAAAGAATACAAATCATATGGCGAATAACAACCCTCTCAAGCGTACTGGATCCACCAAGGGATCACGTTTGTCAGGGATTAATTAAAATAGATGCAATAAACTGACGACGAACAG